GAGGGGGGGGGGGGGGGGGAAGGGGGGGGAGAAACAGAAAGAAACACACCCAGTATGGGAAGATTTCCCTTCCTTCTGGCAGGCCTTAATTATTGGCAAGATAGGGATCATTGCAGATTTGAGACAGTCTTTGCAGTTTCAACCCTACCGGATAAACAACCCACAACCCTACGGATAAACAACCCACAACCCTATGGGATAAACAACCCACAACCTTCCTGTTTGATCCTGGCCTTAAGTATTGGCAAGAAAGGGTAACAATGATATGACTTGCAAATTCTAGTTAGGAATAGCCATGTAAATGCTTCACTGAATGGTACAGCAGTTCACCCGTTGCAGACATGATAAGAAGTTTTGATTCCTTGTCGAATTTGTTGTCGGTGAAGTTCGGATGCTCGTCTAACCCCTTTTTGTTTGGGAAAAAAAAAGAAAAACAAGGAAAGGCAGCATGGAAAAAAGTTTAAAAAACTGAAAAAAAAAAAAAAAAAAAAAAAAAAAAAACAGTCCACATTTGTACCTGGCTGAATGTTTACAACTTTACACAACTGTGACAGCTAGTAAACAGATAGTCAGCTCAAATCTGGATGGAATCCGATGGACACAATAATGCTACATAAGGGCTAAGCCTCCTCATTTCAAAATAAATAGATGGACAAATATTAACTAGATAAGATTTACAAAATGAAAAAAAAAAAATTGGGCGAAAAAAAAATCCACATTTTAGGATTTTCTACTTACTAGTACTCACGTTTGTCCCTTCGTTTGAAGTACACCGCCTGCCCTTTTGAAACTCCGAGCAAGTTCACCGGACCACCTTGCCTGCATAAAACTTTCATACCGACTCACACAGAACAAAAGAAAAACTTGAAAAAGAACCAAATCACAAAGGGAACAACTGCTGACCCAAGTACGATTGCAAGTACGGTGAGGGAAACTTAAGGTGAAAAAGAACCCCCATGATAATAGGGGACTGAAAGACAACATGAAACCGACGAACCGTAGGCCTTCAAGCAGTGGGAGTAGAATTGTATCTTTGACCGCGAGCCTGTTGAAGAATGAGCGGGCGACTCATAGTAGTCAGGGGCTCGTTACAAGACACTCAGCAAGCGATACAAAGAAGAGATGGAACCCGAGAAATACTCGTATGAAATAAAAAAAGACAAACTTCATTCCATTTACAAAAAAAGTTATCCGGCGTATTGGACTGTAATACTGTATCAACTATTTTTGCTATCAGATTTGTTTGTCACTTGTTTCACAACTTCCACCAGGTCCTAATCCAAGGCAAGTTGGTCAGTGGTCCTGCAGGTTCAAGTTGTCCACTTGCTCAATTCGCAGCTAAGGCAGGATCCAGACCACAAAGGCCAATCGCAATAGAATTAATGAGCTGATCAAATTTGCTCAACCAACCAGAATACCGAAGTTCAAACTGCGTTTGCCCAAACTGAGAGGGGGGGGGTGGGCCCTGTGGGGAGCAAAGCGTTGTGTGTTTGCCTGCTTTTGTGTGCTCATGTACTCTCTCTCTCTCTCTCTCTCTCTCTCTCTCTCTCTCTCTCTCTCTCTCTCTCTCTCTCTCTCTCTCTCTCTCTCCTGTCTCTTATACACATCTAGATGTGTATAAGAGACAGGTGTGTGTGTGTGTGATGCTGTGTGTGTGTGTGCGCGCGCGTGTTGTCATGCTCGCTTGTGCACAACTCCACAAAAAAAGCATGACTGTGACAGAGTGTTTCGTCGGACTTCTACCGACTCATCAGGAGACTGGACCCCGGCAGTCTGGCAAGGATGCATTCAAATGATGGATAAGGACTTACGAGTCACGATGTTGCCCAGAGTTAGCAATACCACTGAGAAAAGCGGTCGACTTTACTCACACCATCCCTGCAATCCTCGCATCGGACTCTTGGTCCAAACCCCTGACAAGACTGGCAGCAAGTCTGTGTGCGTTGGGGTTAGATTTTTGTGATCAGGAATTTCAAAGAAGAGGGCGGGAACACAGGTATTAAGGCAAAGCGGATCGGAAGCTATCTCACCCTCCTTTCGGGTCAAAATATTCCTGCATGATGATTCCCGTCGCAGTAATGGTTACGGCAAGCAGATTCGCAGTACAAGGCAGCGACGAACGCACCAGCAGACACCAGTTTGAGATGGAGCACAGCCACAGGCACAGATACGAAAAGCAGATAACCACACGAACATCTTCAGCCTCACTGTACTCCACGGTTTTCACATCAAGCTCGCTGAGACTCGAGAGAGCAACCACAACTCACCAAAATAATGTTACTCCTGTGAACAGCGGGAGATCCCACAAGTTGTCAATTTGAAAGCAGGTCTGAGGAGGTTGCACATAGAGTTCTCCGGGGATATTATGCGCCCTGCAAAATTATGATGATTTTGAAAAGAAAAAGGGAAACACAGCCTACACATAAAGTTCTCTTACCGAGCTAAGAGCCTTCTGAAAAATAACAGACTGCCTGACATTGTGAGGGAAACGCCTAAGTTAACGACGAAATCACGGCCAGTGCCAAAAGTATTGCTTGGAGAATCATTATGATAGTTACTGTAATGCTTTAGTGAGGGAATCGCCAAGCCTTCCTTGGACACACACACCCCTTTGCCAAATTCTGTGCACCTAATGGGATCGAGATGAGTCTAAGTAGACCGTATTATGTTATGGGGGCAAACAAGACATATTAGGGGTACGTTCTGATTTGACAATGTCGTCTTTGAATATGTGGGGGCCTGTCAGCTGGGGGCGGATTAAGAGGCTTGGGAATCGGTGGAAATCTGCCCCCCTCTATAGAGGTTTGAAGAGCCCTTTTCGGGGGTGCAAACCCCTTTTTTTTTTTTCCGTTTTCCTTTAGGGTGCAGAGCTTAGTTTGCATTGGCACGGATCCGGATCCCTGCTTGCTCTACAAAAGGGAAGCTGACCCCGATTCCCGAAGACCTCTTTAACTGTCTTCAACCAGGGGAACACTTTGAATTCGCTCACCGCCAATAGAACGGAGGCTCAGAAAAATGGAAGCAGGCCTGGAGACCTGAAGGTTTCCATTTCTCGATTTATGCGTGTCATCCTTGCGCAGGGTAAGACGTTGGTCCTCCGAAGTGCAAGGAAAATAAGCAACAGCGAGATGACAATTCCAGATCACACCATCACATTGAAAGCCAAATAGTCACACCGTGTCCAGAGAGCAGCATTGCACCAATAATACACCAATGGAAGTTCGTAGCACTGAAAACCAATGTTCATGGAGAGCATACTCTCTCCTCCCAACACAAGAGTCCAGTTCCTGCACACTCCCACTTGGAGCTCAGCGCCCATCCTACTCCTACACAGCTACTACAGACGACAAAAAGACAATGCAACTGTTGACATCAGCGGCAGCCCGAAGTACTTGAAGATGTCGCCCATGCAGACCATCGCCAATACAAGGTAMGTGCCCTCACATCATCATCATCATCATCATCCTTCACCTATCCCCTGACTACACCCACACCTGTCCTCTCTTTCACCCAAAGACCACCCCTGCGCTTCACTGTAGTCCAAGCCCACCAGCTATGCTGGCTGGGCTATGGCGCTGCCCTCAGCAGCGGCCTCCTCCTCTGCACGACCGCAAGTGCTGCACCTCGCCTCTCAGCGCCAGCCAGCAGCTGCGAGCCTCTGCTCCAGCAGCGCTGCCGCTAGCATGCGAGTGCCTGAATGTGGCCACCTGGCCAGAGCTCTTTCCTTTATGGAAAAGAGCTGGCCAGCTCTCGCAGCCTGCCTGGGCTGGCCTGGGCCCAGAAGCCTCCGGAAGGCCCCAGGAGGCTGCCGGGACGCAGCAGCTACTGGGCCTCGTTCGGTTGGGCGCCCAACTGTCTCTGAATGAGGCTGCGAATCACGCCCAGGGCCTGCATTCTTTGGAAAGGCCCACTAGGTCGTGGAAATGTCTTCGGTGCTCGGACTGTGTTTCTTTCAACCAACTGGCGCATCGAAACTGCCTGGACCCCAAATATGAAATTGACAGTCGAGGGCCTCTTGCAAAAAGCCAGGCCCGCCTTCACTTAGGGTGGGCACCTCCGCCTTCACTTAGGGCGGGTAAGGCTGCAAACAGGGCCCCATAGGCCTACCGAGGACCCTGATCCTCGCAGAAGTAAACATAATCTTTTAATGGTCAATCAATCGACATCCTCAAGAGAATACAGAAGAAAGGAAGAAGAAGAAGAAGAAGAAGAAGAGCAATAAGAAGAAGAAGAGGAGGACGTCAAACAGTAAGCCAGAGAGGAATGATCACACGTCCCAAAATTCCCGAAATGCGACCGAGTTGGCCGTCAGAATTTCAACGTGAAGCACCGCCAAAGACATCGAATAATAGTCATGAGGCTCATGGCGCAGCGACCCTACGCTGCGTTTCATCCAGCCGCCACACCGGAATCATCAGGGGTCTTAGTTTGAATCGCAAGAAGGAGGGACTGGACAAATGGTAGACCTGGAATAAGTACTTCGAGAAAGACCACCAGAAAGAATGTTTATCGGAAGAAACAAGAGAATCAGGACAGGATAAAGACCAGAATCATTACTACAACTAGGGGCAAAAGGACGTAAGTGACCTTGAGAAAAGAACAGAGCCACACTAGAGCGGCAGAGCCCAGATTCATCAGACCATGATAGGTCTTCTACGAAAGACTAGAAAAGTACAGCACGCAGAGCAGACGCCAAACATACTCCAGGCCTAAATCGCAAATCAAGGCGAAAAGAGAGACAGCCAGTTCTTCATCCTCCATCTGGCCTCCGGCCAGTCCAGTAAGCCGGTCAGACCCCAGGGATCTTCGGGAAAGGATTTTCAAAGAAAAAGAAAAGAAAGGAAAAAGAAAAAAAAAAAAGAAAAAGAAAAGGAGAGGGGAAAAAAAAAAACCCTGAAGGACAGGGTCCATGCTAATCTTCTCTGTATCGTTCCAATTTTAATGGATGTCCCAGGACCTTGTCCCACTAGCTCCGTTGAGCTAGGTCAACGTTGGGTTTTTGACCCTGTGTGACTGTACGCGACAACGGAGATGCACGCCCTCACAATCATCCACCGGTCGGCTCTTTTTTTAATTGTGAATACATTTTATCGCTTTTTTTCTTCCGACAAAATACATCCAAAAATGACATTTTCTCGAATGCAACGCCCCTACCCTCGCCACTTTCCGTTGAGCTAGCTGTCTCCTTTTTTGGAGACAGCCAGTTCAACAACCGTTGGCGTCCTTTTGGAGATTTTTATTTATTTTTTATGTTATTTTATTACGTTTTGAGAAATTTGTGAAGTCGCGTGTACTTCGCTATTTTCGGTCGACGTTTGAAGAGCCGAATACGCGTGAACTATGGGGAATAGGGCAACTCTTCATAGGATAGGAGCGACCCTTCGGAGGATGGGAGCTGCTGGAATTCATTGTTGTTGTGCGCTCCTGTATCTGTCTCTGTTATTGGGCAGATTCATGGAGAGGCGTCTTGTCTCTCTCTCTCTCTCTCTCTCTCTCTCTCTCTCTCTCTCTCTCTCTCTCTCTCTCTCTCNCTCTCTCTCTCTCTCTCTCTCTCTCTCTCACAGCATCGTAGCAGGTTCACACAGCCAGCATCCCTTAGGGAAGTGCAGATCGATATGTCCTTTGTTTCTTTGCTCGTCATCGTCTTCGGAGTCTTCGCTGTCTCCAGTCAGACCGCGGTACAACACACACACACACACACACACACACACACACACACACACGTTCTCGGATCTCACAGTTTGAGCGGTGAAGGCCGACCGCGCGCTTCTGATGGAAGCACGTTTCCATTCTCGGTTGTGGACGTCACGTATTCCACTCCAGTTGTGGAAAAGAAAAGAAAAAGAATAAATTGTATCTTTGGGAGACTTTGGTGGATTTTTTAATGCATTTCTGAATTTTAAATGAATTAAAAAAAAAAAACAGTTCCAGCCGTCACACCATTGCGCTAGGTCCACTAAACGGTGAATGTGGGACAAGGTCCCCGAAGGACAGACCTGGGGCTAAGTCCCACTAGCAGCGTTGAGCTACCTCTTTTTTTTTTTTTTGAAAAAAGAAGGCTCCATCTATTGGTGGGGAGCAGCACCTGCTGGAAACCGGGTCCAGCGTCCCTTACATTTGGAAAAGGACCATAAGGAATCATGAGATAGCRTGCTGGAAACCGGGTCCAGCGTCCCTTTGCTAACTATCCTGTATTTTCCAAACCAAAGCCTTGGGCTGAGGCCCTGCAGGGCCACTGGGGGGCACCAGTGGTCCCTGTCTGTTCCTTTGCCCACCTTCCAGACCACACTACCACACTTATCCTTTGAGAATATTTGAAGGATATCTGAAAACTGGAAATTCTGAAATTTCCGATGAATCTGATAAAACTGAAATAAACTGAAATAAACTGAATTAATGTGTGAGAACAGAAGGAGGTCTGAACACCACCTTTGGCCTGCTTTGTGGCCGCCTGATGCAAGTGATATAGCTGGCAAAGAAGGATTGAGAAAAAACTGAGAAAAGACTGCGAGCCCACTGAGAAGGAGAGCTGTCTGTCCGCCCCCTCAGCTTAGTGTTCCACCCTCTCTGTCAGAGCGGTGGGATTTCCACCAAGGATAGTGGGTGTGGGGGAAAGGGATCTGCGAACTCCTGAGCCGGCCTCAGCAGATCCCCTGGATCCACCGCTGTCCAATTCAAAAATTATAGGCGATAGTCTCTCACCACCTCCACCCGCTGATTCCCCAGTGTTCCGTCCCTTGTCTCCTGTTGTGATTCCTCTGTCCAGGTTATCTGTGCTATCCGGCCTCCCCTTCTCCCCCCCAGCCAGTCCTCGCAAAACTTTGAGATGATTCGGTCCACATCTTTCTTGGTATTAGCCAGGTCCAGTTGGCTTTTGGTGGCCTGCCACTGGGTCGCAATCTCGTTATGTATCAATTGCCGGAGCTGTTCTGTAGTCTCTCCCTCTTCCACCCTGGCTCCCTCCATCTCAAGAATGCATCTTTTCCACCAGATCACCCACAGGACTGAACGTCTACCCAGACTGAACATGTTCTTCTGAAAGGAGTTTTCCCAGTGATTGGGATCATGTCCAAAGAGGATGGCCCTCCAGTCCCAGGGCCACAGTGAGCCTGGGACCATGTGACGCCAAATTCTGTCCCACCACCGCCACAAGAGCACGCCCCAGGGGCATTGTAGGAAAATATGTTCCACTGTCTCAGGGCGCTTTTGGGATGGAAAGGCCAGCAGGCATCATCGG